CACCATTGACAGGGTGAAAGAAAACTTGTGGGGAAGCCTAAACTTGCAATTTCAGCTTAGAAGTCTTAAATCAGGAAAGATAAGAGATTAGTAGGCCTACCATGAGGTGTTCAAGCGTCAATCTTTCGGATGTTAAAGAGGGATGGAGCTATACACCTTATATTATAGATCCATCCCTCTTTCTCGTCCGGAAGCATAAGACAAGAGGAAGGAATGATGAACAAGCATAAGACCAAATGTCAAGTACAAAAGCCTACCCAGCCTTTAAAAAAAGAACCCGCTAGTTATCACCTATTTCAATCAATTTAGAAAAAAACGAATTTACTATGAAACAGAAGCGTAACAATTTAGAATTCGCTTTTAAACGTGGCCTTTTATTAGACAAAAAATATTTATTAGCAACCATATTGTGGTAAACCACAAAAAACAATAGCTTTCAAATGCGATTTTCCACAAAGGATTTGCATTTATGAATGGAAAATTGATGACATGGTTTAATGAGCGTGACTTTTTGCATACTTTACAGAAGCGGGACATTGGATAATGGTAATAGGTATATTATTGATTTCCTTCTTAAATCAACAGTTTAAGTATTCTTGTTCTTTGGGCAACGTCCGCGGTGGCTGGGCAACTGGCTGCCATTCAACGTGTCGCGGGTTGGATTCTTGCACGGAAAATCGCTTCGTGTGAACCACAAATTATTGTTCCGGGTCTGAGTGTGATGTGTATGAGAAATGCGCCCACGACGCAACAGAAAATCCTAGTGTGGGGGGAAGGATTTTTTTAACAAAATGTTAAGAATATAAGCTGTATCCTTTTACCAGTAAGATTTCCTCTGAAAAAATATGAGTTTTTAATTTTGTATACCTTTGATTATGGCCTGAAATCTTCTCGAAATTTTAGATTATTAACAATTTTGATAAATCAACAACGAACAGAGTATGTAGGTACATCTATAAGTTCGTATTTCAAACGAATCGCCGACAATGTTATAATTTAAACATAAACAGTAGCCTTAAATCGATTAGCGGTTCCGATTAATCGATTAAACTTAACTAAATACTAAAATGGCGTTTGATAAATCAGTTTTAAAAGGACATCTCTACAAATAGAGGTGGCCTGTGCTGCGGCGAATTAATTGTGCGACTGACCTTGTATTTATAGAGATAACACACACGCATATCACGCCTTGTATTGTTCGAGGAAATCAGTAGAAGCAGTTATTTTATAGATTTCAATATTTTAGTATATTTTTTTATAAAATATGGAGATTTTGAGACATTAAACTGAGCAGTAATATATTAGTAATAGGGTTACAAGCACTAAAATTAATAATATCGTGTTTTAGATTTTTCATTTGTTTATGGTCGAGAGTTGAATGCATGTAATAGGGTTACAAGCACTAAAATTAATAATATCGTGTTTTAGATTTTTCATTTGTTTATGGTCGAGAGTTGAATGCATGTAAGAAAGGTTCAAAAAAATCCAAAACTACTCGCTCACTATGTTCATAACAAGAAAAGTCATACAAAAACTAAATTTACAAATCTGCATGCATTCGTTACCCGTTTTGATACAAGATAGAGATGTATATTGTAACAAAAATTCTTTATACTTACGTGACCTACAATAGCATTCCACATCTTTTTTGCACTTACACAAAACTTGTGTGGAATTCCAAATAAATGAACACTATTTAAAATGGAAACTTCGCTCCCTTTTACACGTGAACGGAGGGAAAGGGACGGATGATAAGGTTGGCTTATTTTACTATTTCGGCAATGAACGCGCGGGGCACACTGCGTTGATTTTTGAAAGAGCACAATCGAGTCGATATTAAATGAATTTTTGAATTTGAATGAATTGGTTTAATGTAAAATAAATTAATTACATTTTCGTATTCTGATTCAATAGTGTGTTACTAAAACAATAAAATCTTAAGGTTTCGTCATACATAGCGAAGTTTTTAGTCAACTCAGGCTTTAGGCACCTTTTTAAACAGCACCAGACATTAAAAAAAGCCATTCTTCCCATTGAGATTACTTGCAATGTTTATTTTTTAATTCGATAATATTATTTACGTTCAGTAGTCAAGTATTGACATTTAAGTTGAGATTTTATATGCAAGTGAATTCATATAAAAACTAGGGGTGGTCAGACTTTGCAATTATTTAATTCGGTAGTCGATTTCGGTTTTTAGGCGACTCAATGTAAAGGTTACTTCGTTAGTTTAGTGGTTGCGTAATGCGTGTCTGATATGACAACCAAATACCAGGAATCTTGAGTTCGCATATTTACTATAGTAATGTATTAAGTAGTTATTATAGCACCTAGTTGATTTTAAAAAAATTTAAAAGCAACTGAACTTCTCATAACCTACGACGACGTTCAACATTATTTTGATGAGACATATTATGTATATTTCTTTTAAAAAATGAACAGAAATGACAAAATACTATCATTATCTCAGTCATGTGATAATTGCAAAATATTACCTATAATAACTGCTAGGCTCGAAGTAAAGCTGTAGTTTTTATTCGAGCTTTTAAGTGGTAACATTGAAACCTATTAAATAATCCTGTTCTTCTGACATGGAATCGTAATTTTATGTAAATATTTGTAAATATAATATTGAACGTTTAACTACAGGACAAATGGGATTGGTTTCTGGATTGTGTATATTCTTACCATACCTATTAAAATACCTATCTACTTATCTAATGGTGTAATGGTCTAATTTTATATAAAATCTGCTTAGGTACATTTTAGACAATCAATCTTTTATTATTGGCATAAATGATTTTAATCAAGTAGCTATCACACTTTTGTGTTCTTTAACGGCTTTAGTGGACATTATTTAAACGTTTTTAACAAAGTAAAACGTGTTTTATATTACTCGTAAATATGGTAAGTGGTGACTAACATACTATCTTAAGGTTTAACCTGAAAACAAGTGTCAGTTTATAGCATTACAGACTATAAGGGCTACATAATTTAACCTGTTCTTAACGACCCAGGCTCAGGCTCACTCTGTATATATTTTTGAAAAAAAATTTCTAATAAACTGTATTCTAAATTGAAAAGAATCTCATTCGAAATTAGAACTCCATTAAAATATTTTAGTCGATTATAATAATCGATTCGCAAATAAAACAAAATGCAATTTGTTTTCAATAATTTATGATTTCCTTTGCGTGTTCAAACCCCTTACATGCTTAGTCGATTATTTTCGAGTTAATATCAATTTAAGTAACGAGGTATAACAATATCGTTTACCTATCGCGACCTTGAATGAAAGGCAGGTAGGTAGGCGCTAGTGTAGTATGTTGCACTGGCTGAATGGCTCAATGATGTGTGTAGCGGCTTTTTTTTTAAATTTTTGTTTGCTCGCAATTATTACTATCTGTGATTTTGGTGGATGGCGGCAAGATTGTAATATTGTGGTGAGAGTTAGGTGCTTACTATTTTAATACCTACCTAAGACATTTTTGAAAAAAGAAACCAAAGAGCCTTTTTAATCGTAGCGAATTTCTTTTAGTACCTATGTAGCGTAAAATATTTAAGTGATTTTTAGTTTTTTCTTTTCACATTTTATTTTATCCATTAGTAATGGTGCCTCATTATAAAACAAAGGTCGGGACCATGGTTGGCATAAAACCAATTAAGCCATGATTTACGAAAAAAATCTATCGTCCCTATTTTTTTCAAGATTTCATTATCACATTACCTATAGGTACCTAGGCACCTAGTTAGAGTGCTAAGTAACGTTCTAACAATAAATCGAACTCTATTGACATAGATTTAGAACAAGGTTACCTATACTGATAACGTAGAAAGTGCCACACACACATACATAATATAATACTATGTATGTTTATATTGTATAACCCATTGTTCATAAAATTTACTCATAAAAACATTGCATTCGAAGATTAGAATATGGGTTTGCAAATACTGGCTTGACAAGCTATTCCATCCTTCAATCGATTTTCACCTTTACAACTTTGAAGTAAAGCTGATAGTCGGATGATGATGTTAGGCTTAAAAGGATAGCTTAGTATGCGGTATCTAATCAGTATTTGTAATGTTTTAGGAGGTAATGTCTGTACGAGGAACTGATTGGTTGTTAGGATTATCCTATTGTGATTAGGCGTAATTTAGGAGTTAAGTGTTCCACTTAATAGCTTTGTTTTGCTTCTTATTATCTGAAGTGGAACATAATACCGATAAAACTATATACAATTTTTCAGGACAATTTAGCGATCAATTTTATTGAGAGTAGGAACTGTATATAATACACGACCACAGTTGAGCTTAATTTAAAACTATCATAAACTAGGGCTCAACTGAGACACAAAAATAGTAACAAAACAATAAACTAAAACTCTGCCAAAATACCTCAAACATGTTAACAAAATGTAAACTGCAAACTAAACTATGGCGGTTTTGGCGCCATTACTTACTGAGCAAAAACAAAACGTAGGTACATAACTTTCACGAAACACCAAGGAATGTTCACGAATAGTGTTACTACATGTTGTGGTCCCAATGTTGGGGCCAATATTGGGAATAATGGGAATGGTATCCCAGAAATTATGCTGAATCATTTTGGAATCTGATACTTAAAAACTTTGACAATTCCTTCAATAGCGTGTTGACATTGGCAATTGTATTGGAGTTTGGAATTAACTTATACTTACTAAGGATATACTTTTTTCAGCACTTTATTATCTTTATCTTCACGTTTAGTTCGGCACCAAAACTGATCAAGCGGTGAACGTCAGATACGTATGTACACTTTAAAAATAAATAGTTTCAACGTACCTAAAAATACATTTAGGTACGTTGAAACTATTTAATAATCTGTGCCACAAGTAACAAAATAACTTATATGTGAGAGCAAAATAACAAATAGATGAAGATTGACAGTAATAGTAAAGAAACAAAAACTATAAAATTGCGGCCAACGTTGGGCCAACTTTAAAGCGAGTCGTACATACCTGTTGCCTGGAATTTCGTTGTGTAGACACTGAGAGTGTACCGGTTTTGTCAGCTGACAACTACAAAAATGGCGGTTAGCGCGGGAACGAACGAACGAGGAATGATAAGCTAATCTATGGTATTTGTAAATTTTTATATCTTACGTTTAATTTGATAAAAATTATATAATCGATAAGGTTTATTATTAAAGATTTGATAAGATCTTAATAATAGAGAAGGTAGGCAGCCGGTTTTAGGAAAGGCTCCCCCTTATCCTAGATTACAGTCTACAGTTTTACCAACCAGACAGAATGCTTTCTATTGGTTTTTGCTTAACAAGATTAAATAATCAGTATTAACCCTAACAGATTCACCTAAGCTTTTTACAGGAGGAAATTATCATCTTCCTCGAGTCCACAGCCCATTAGGAGTATCAGAAGAACAAGAACCAGAAATCACACGATTTGTTGTTAGTTTACATATTTTTAATTTCTTGTTAAATTAGAAAAGATATTGTTTCCAATTCTCCATAATTAAGATGAGATAGGAAATCCAGGACGCCATTTCAAGTGCTTATCTGCCCACATCAAGAGATTTGAAACGGTTTAAAAACCTCAAAAAAGTATCTACCCTGAAATTCGGTTGAAAACTCTAAGCAAAGTCGGTTGCCAAGTGTTTTCAACGAACAATCTTTAAAAAAATGCAATTCATTCAATTGTCGTAGTAGTTTATTAATAAATATTTAATGATAAAGTATCTACAAACTGATATAGGTATTATAATGTTGTTTATAGGAAAGCAACGATTTTAATCTTTGCGAAGGCGAAACAAACGTTAAGAGATTAGGTATTAATTTTTATCTTTTACTTCACGCTTGATAAGGCGGTGGTTCTACGAGATAAAGAGCTAAAATCCTTTTTCGAGCTCGAAAGGTTTCGAGGACGATGGATAGAAAAAAAATGTTGTAAATTAAATTATTTGCAATGAACATTACGATATTTGATTCTAATTCTAATAACATTCTAGAAATGATATAAAATAATAAAACTACGCAAAATTACAGAAAAGATAAAGTAAAAAGCTAATATAAGACTTACAGAGACTTACCTTTTACAAAAACTTCGAAAAACTCGACGAAAGCAATGTGCTAACTTAGAGCAGTTTACTGTTCACCTTAAAAAGGTACAGAATTTACCGCAGTAAATATATCTATTACCACGAAAACCGACGAGCGTGACTCTCGAACGATTTCGAAGTGACTGATAAATGCTCGAAAATCGGAGTGCTCTTATACTTAGTATCAAGATCATTTGTTTGTTGATAAAGTCGATAAAATGGCGTGGTCTATATTTAGGTCTAGATCTTATCACCGTTGGGGACTTCTAATCCCTGTTATCTTTAAATCGGAAAATATTTCACAATGTTGTGTAGTATTACCTAATAATGTGAAATTGATTCATTTGAAGATTTCAGCTTTGATTGTATAGGTTTATTTTTCGTTGTTTGGGGTCGGTAGGTTACGAACCATTTGGGATGAATGATTAGTATGATTTTATGTTTCTTTTTTATTGTTGCTGCTGTTATGGAACTAAGCTTGCCAGCCAGTGCTTAAAGATGTGTTTAAATAAATCAATCGGAAAAGGGCGGGAAACTGCGAACTGAATAGGCGTCTTTTTTCGGCTGCGAATTTTATTTCTTGAAATAAGGATCAGATAAGGAGTTTTGTGCATATATATTTTGCTTCTCTTTTATCTATATTTCCGTATATATAAAATAATATAAAGTCCTCATCTCGGCGAGTTCTTGGTGAGTAAACTTCATAACATGAATGAGCCCCCTGACGATCCTGGTGGTGGATTAACGCCACTGGAGGTCCCTGAGGCCTCCAATTTTATTACATATCCTCCAAACTGTCCCCCTAGAGAAGAGTCAGATGGCTCATTTTTTGACACAGATGCTTCTGAAAATACAAATACTTCCACACTTAAACGTAAACGAGTTTCAGTTAGGAAAATATGTAAGCAATGTAATAAGAAAAAGCGAAAGCACAGGAAAGTAGATGGTCCTGTACCTTCGAATGAATGTCAGTGTATTTTTGATGATGAAATGGCTGTGCCTACACAAAGTTTGGGGAATAACTTCACCCCTCCAGCTCCACTTCACAGCAGCACCCCACTGTTGAATGAGTCGAATGTATCTCAACGTGTCCAGCCTCCACCAACTGAACAGCCTAGTGCCCCGGTTGCTAGGCCTCGGTATGTTTCCATGGACCTGTCTCCATATGTTGTACATGTGATGAAGGAACAATCAACACCTAATGAAAATTGCACCATGCACCCAGTGTCATTTGGCTATTTTCTTAAAAAACATTGTTTCAGAAATGTAATAAACGGAAGTCTTAAAAGGGTAGGACGAAATAGGCTCTCAATTTCCTTTTCTAACTATGAAGATGCTAACAGTTTCCTTAATAATGACATTTTAAAACAGTATAATTACAAAACATTTATTCCAATATCCAATATTACTCGTATGGGTGTGATAAGAGGTGTCCCTGTCAGCTGGAGTGATGATGAAATCATTAAGAACATAAGTGTTCCTACTGGATGTGGTAGTGTGTTAAAGGTTAGGCGGTTAAAGAAAAAAACAACAGTTAATGGTAAATCAGAATTTACTCCAATTGAGACAGTCGTTGTAACTTTTGATGGACAGGTTTTGCCAAAAAGGATATTTTTGTGTTACAACTCTCTACCTGTTGATCTGGATATTAAAAATAAGTTTGAAGAAGAAAGAGAAAAAGTTAATACAACTATACGAAACACAAAAAAAGAATACTATTACAAACTATTCCAAGAAAATCTTAAGAAGCCGAAAAAAACCTGGGAATTAATTAATACACTAGCTAGGAACAAGGTGAAAAACAATTGTGCCCCTTCGAAACTTATCATTGGCTCGAATGTTATAACAGAGGGTATCTCAATATGTGATGCATTTAATGAATACTTTTCTTCTATAGGCTCTCTACTGGCAAATCAAATAGACGTAAAATATCATGCTAATACAGTTAACACCTTAATGTACAAATCTGACCACAAACATACAACTACACTAGATGAGTTTGCACCATGCACTGTACAAGAGGTTATAGGAATAATTAACAACCTAGACAATAATACGAGTACTGGTGTTGACGGTATTAGTACCAAGGCTATCAAATGCATTAAAAATATAATTGCTCCGAGTCTTACTGAATGCATTAACAGGTGCCTGGAGGAAGGCGCATTTCCTGACTCACTGAAGATTGCCAAGGTAAGTCCAATTTACAAGTCTGGTGCTAAAAGTGACCCTGGAAACTACAGACCAGTATCGGTACTTTCAGTGCTCTCCAAATTATTCGAAAAAATTATATATTCTCGTCTAAACAAATATCTTACAGAAAAAAAATTCCTAATAGAAGAACAATACGGGTTTAGGCCAAAATCGAACACACTTTCAGCGACTGTTGACTTGGTTACTAAAATAAAAACCTGCATCGACCAAAAACAAACAGCTCTCGGTGTTTTTATTGATATAAAAAAAGCGTTTGACACTGTAAGTCACATTAAACTTCTACAAAAGCTAAGCAATATAGGTATAAGCTGGAAAGCTCTGAGTATTTTTACATCTTATCTGCGTAATAGGTACCAAACCGTAAAAATAGGAGATTTTCAGAGTGGAATGCAAAGTGTCGACTGTGGTATTCCCCAAGGATCGGTACTAGGAAGCTTACTGTTCTTGATTTATATTAATAATATTAAAAATCTATCTCTAACTGGTCAATTAACGGTTTATGCAGACGACACTTGCTTATTTTACTTTGGCAACTCAATCCAAGACATTATAGCCAATGCTCAACATGATTTGAACATACTCAACGAGTGGTTCCTGTATAACCTGCTTACTATTAATACATCAAAAACTTCTTACATGATCTTTGCTGCAAAAAATAAGAAATTACAAAATTTTACCCCATTGACAATAAATAACAATACTATAAATAGATCAAGACAAGAAAAATATCTTGGCCTTCATTTGGATGACCGATTGACTTGGAATGCGCATATTGCGCATGTCAGGTCCAAACTGAGTTCAATACTAGGCGCACTCCGGAAAGTGTCCAATTGCATACCACGGAAAGTACGTACCCAAATCTATAACTCGCTAATAAGGCCGCATCTAGAATACTTAGTTGAAATATGGGGAGCAGCTACCAAAACAAATTTAAAAAAGTTACAAACAACACAAAACAGAATTATAAAAACATTATTTCATTATAACTACTTAACACCTACAAAAGATTTGTATACTAAGACTAACTTCCTCAACATTACGCAATTATATCAACTCAACACTTGCATCCTCGTAAAAAAGATTATCACAGGCAACATTCACTCTAACATAAAATTCACACATAAAACGCACAAACACTACTTAAGAAACAGATACAAATTAGAAATAACTCAACCACGCACACTAACCTATGGAAAGAAGAACATTCTGTATGACGGAGTAAAACTGTACAATAGCCTACCTAATGATATTAAAATATGTACAAAATTAAATAAATACAAAAAACTACTAAGAAATCATATCCGTAACCAATATTCTTAACACAATAAAACTTATTATACGACTTCTTAACATTTGTCTGCCTCACTGTTGTTGTACCCTCTGTTTATTTATAGTGAAGCCAAAGCGCTGTAAATTTAGCTATAAGTTAATATTGTTAATCTCATTTTAAGTGAACCATTGTTCTTATGAGAAATAAAGTTCTTTAAACCTATGAAATGGCTGTGCCTACACAAAGTTTGGGGAATAACTTCACCCCTCCAGCTCCACTTCACAGCAGCACCCCACTGTTGAATGAGTCGAATGTATCTCAACGTGTCCAGCCTCCACCAACTGAACAGCCTAGTGCCCCGGTTGCTAGGCCTCGGTATGTTTCCATGGACCTGTCTCCATATGTTGTACATGTGATGAAGGAACAATCAACACCTAATGAAAATTGCACCATGCACCCAGTGTCATTTGGCTATTTTCTTAAAAAACATTGTTTCAGAAATGTAATAAACGGAAGTCTTAAAAGGGTAGGACGAAATAGGCTCTCAATTTCCTTTTCTAACTATGAAGATGCTAACAGTTTCCTTAATAATGACATTTTAAAACAGTATAATTACAAAACATTTATTCCAATATCCAATATTACTCGTATGGGTGTGATAAGAGGTGTCCCTGTCAGCTGGAGTGATGATGAAATCATTAAGAACATAAGTGTTCCTACTGGATGTGGTAGTGTGTTAAAGGTTAGGCGGTTAAAGAAAAAAACAACAGTTAATGGTAAATCAGAATTTACTCCAATTGAGACAGTCGTTGTAACTTTTGATGGACAGGTTTTGCCAAAAAGGATATTTTTGTGTTACAACTCTCTACCTGTTGATCTGTACATATATCCAACAATCCAATGCTTTAAGTGCTGTAGATACGGACACGTCAAAAGCCAATGTAGATCTTTGCCAAGGTGCTTTAAATGTGGTCACGGTCACACAGGAGATACCTGTGAAATTGATGAAGAAAATATTACTTGCTTCTTGTGTTCTAGTTTCCACATGGCAACCAGTAGAAAATGTCCAGAATATAACAGACAAAAGAGTATAAAAGAGACAATGGCAAAGAGCTGCATAACTTATTCTGAGGCTCTAAAATTACATCCCCCGATTTCTAAATCTTATGCCGATGTTTTAATGACTGTTAAACCTAATCAGCAAGACTCTCACAATTCTCACAATTTCAGTTACAATCTACCTAATCTGCAAAATAATACAACAACTCATTCTTATAAAAAAACAGTTTTCTTAAAACCAAAAACTATACATAGACCAAGTAAAGGTTATAACCGTAGTGAACATGAGACTTTGACAAGAGATTACAACACCCCATTTGCGCCTAGTAAAAGTATCTTGGTAAATAGCGATAATAATGTTCAATCTAATGATTCACTTGCAAACTTATCAATTAAAGATCTTCTTATCACACTCATAACCTCTTTATCTCACAACAATCTGTTGTCACCGTCCAACGTTGCCATATTAAAAAATGATGTTATGATGAATCCAAATAACGTTAATTATGGGAAAGAAGTCTCAAGTAATCCAATGGAATTGCAGGAGCATTAATAATAAGAAAAGCGACTTAATTTATTTGTTAAATTCTTTAGAGCCTTTTGTGGTGGCTCTACAGGAAACGTGGCTACGGCCTGAATATACTTTTAAAATATTTGGATATTTCTGTCTAAGAGAAGATAGATTCGACAACTACGCTGGTGTTGCCTTACTCATTAAAAATAATGTCCCTTTCTCTCGTATAAATTTTCCTGAACATAGTAATAAAATTGGCATTGTAGCAGCATCTATAAATAATATTTCATTTGTGTCCGTATATATTCCTGATCCATCCTCTTTAGTTTATGATGAGTTAGAAAGCTTATTAGCAAATATACCTAAACCGATACTGATAATGGGCGATTTCAATGCTCAGCATCAGTCATGGGGAAGCACTTATTCTAATCATTATGGCAGCAGGATTTTAGAATTTTTAGATAGAAATAATTTATGCTTACTTAACACTGGTAACTTTACTCGCCTCACTCGTCCCCATGAAGGGAAAAGTGTCCCTGATTTAACGATCTCCAGCGCTAGCCTATCCTCCCTGTTATCATGGGCAACCCTAACATCAACTTATGGAAGTGACCATTATCCTATAGTCGTAACTTTTCCTTCAGATAATAATGCAGTGAACATTCGATCCCCACGTCTCAAACATAATTTAAAGAATGCTGATTGGTTCCTTTTCAAAGAAAATGTGACAAAAAAGGTTTCATCTCTTCCACCAGTCGATAATAGTAATCAGATTGAGTGTGCGGAAGCTTTAGCCCGTGTTCTAGTAGAGGCAGCTGATGAGTCTTTTCCTACAAAAAAACACGGTTCTAATAAAATTCCATCTCCACCTTGGTGGGACAATGAATGTTCTGAGGCTATAAAAAAAAGAAAACAGGCTGAGAGAACCTACATTCTTCACTCTACTGAAGAAAACCTTGAAATCTTTTCTCGAATTTCTGCGGATACTAGGAAGCTGTTCAAGAAAAAAAAATGGGAAAGCTGGAGAAACTTCTGTTCTTCTTTATGTCCTGATACTCCCCCATCAGTCATCTGGGCCAATATAA